TTAAGCTGATTGTGTTGGGGATAAACTCCACATTACCGTTATTTTAATGAATCACCATGAGATAAGTTGCAAAGCTTTCATGTTTGAGATTCAGCCATACTATGATCGAACACCCATCCCTCCACCAGTGCACACTTTCTATCACCAGTGTACCCAGTATATCCCTCACCCCATCCCAGTCCTCACCCTGCCTCCATGGCAGACAACTTCCCCAATACTCTCTCTGCTTTTGGGCATTATGTTTTGCTCAGATTTTTCCACCACCATTCAAGCCTGCCTTGCAGGGACAGATGCTAGATCATTTATTGTCCTTTTCTCATTTTGAGTCTCATGGGTGCTGTGGCCTTGCACTTCTGGAATTCTAGATTGTAAATGAGGCATTTCTGTAGGGCACTAATTCATTTTGGGATTCAGTTGGGCGTCTCTGCACCAGGGATGTTGGTGTGTTAAGATGGCGCCTGGAGGCACATTGTGGGCATGATAGCCAGGCTGATGAGCGGGTGGGGAGCCAGGGTGGGACAGCCTGGTGCCTCTGCTGCCATGCGGCATGGAGATTTAGTTCTGGACCCTGCATGCCTGGACCTTGCTTGTACTCTTGGTTGCCTGATTCCATCTGGAGTAGTCGGAGAGACTACACCTGCTCCATCTGGGGTGCCCCAGTGAAATTGGCTCAGTATGGGGCCTAGAGAGATCTCCAGCTCTGTGGTGTGTTCTGGGACTTGCTGCTGTGTCTTTGGCTTTCGATCTCTTTTGAGATTTACTTATGGGTCTCTGAAGGAAGGCCAGTAGTAGAGTTTACAGGTGGCACTGGAGTTGATTCAGGGGGGTGACTACCAGTGCTTTCATGTGTATTGAGAAGTGGGGAGAGGAAGCCCATCCCAACTTTGTGAAAACCTGGAGATTTTAGTCACAAAACCTGCCTACCCAATTTTTCATCAGATTATATCTTGGTGAGGTCTGTCCTGAGATGGTGGAGTCAGGCCGGGGATATGTGGTGCTTGCATACTTTTTTCATTATGATGCTCACTGGAACACACTTTGTTTTTGTGTACTTACACTATCTCTCTGTGGTCCTGCCAGATATCACTTGTGTTACCATGGATAACTTTGAGATAACAGAGCTGTAGCTGCCAGGATTTGTGCTTGGTGCTGGGGGACACCAGAGATTTTAAATTATGACCATAAACTTGACAGGCAGGTGTGATAACTCCCTGTGCTATTCTCTGGACTTTGTATGTGTGTGTGTGTGTGTGTGTGTGTGTATGTGTGTGTGTGTGTATAGTTTTATTTAGGAAATATGAGAGAGAGAGAGAGAGAGAGAAAGAGAGAGAGAAGGAAGATAAATTATGCACCCTGAAATGAGATGCAGGCATCTCCAGAATTGAAATTGTTTCATTGTGAGTGACTTGAGTAAAGTGGGGAGTGAAGGATGAAGGAAGTAGCCTTGAGAAAATAGTCCTCCGCCTCTCTGCTTCTCACCTCAGCTTCAGCCACCTGGGAAAATGCCTGGAATGGGACAGGACTGTGAAGTCTGTTCCAAGGCCCTAAATGACACGGATGCTCATGTCCCACCAATCCCATGAGGCAGCCAACAAGCTGTTCTGCACAAAGCCCGCTTGTTCTGCACAAAGTGGGAACTGGTTCCACCATCTGAGTTCTTGGGGAGCTGTGGACTCAGGCTTGAGTGAGGAATTGCTCTTTGCAGGAAATGGAAAGTCAGCCCTAATCTTGGCACCGGTGTTCCAGGTTTCCCTTGCAGAAAACAATTATAGGAAGTGGAGAAATAATGAATTAAAGTAGTTTTTTTTTTTTTTTGCCACACCACAGTGTTCAGGGATTACTGCTGGCTCTGTGCTCATGTATCACTCCTAGGGCTCAGGAAACCATATGGGTTGCTGGTGAATATACTATTTGGGTCTGCTGCATGCAAGACAAAAGCCCTACCCACTGTAATATCTTGCCAATCTCCTTGGACTTTTGATTCCTTCTAGCCATGTGACTGAATCCTCTGGGTTTTTTGTTTGTTTGTTTGTTTTTGGGCCACACCTGGTGATGCTGAGGGGACACTTTTTTTTTTGCTTTTTTGGGGTCACACCCAGAGATCCACAGGAGTTACTCCTGGCTCTGCACTCAGGACCATATGGGATGCTGGCAATCGAATCCAGGTTGGCCGCGTGCAAGGCAAACACCCTACCCACTGTGCTATCACTCCAGCCCTGACTTTGGCTCTGCACTCAGGAATTAGTCTTTGTGGCTTGGAGAACCATATGGGATGCTGGGGATTGAACCCAGGTCTGCTGTGTGCAAGGCAAATTTTTATTATGCTTGGTGCTGTGTGAGGCCTAGGGATAATTATCTGAGTCTGAGGTGGCCCGAGTGATGGTTAGGAGCTCATGCTTCCCCCAAAGAGAGTTAGTGCCTGAATGTATGGGCCTGGAGGCCCACTGGTGATTTGTTTCACTCATGCCCTATAGTAGCTACAGTGTTGAGGCCTACAAGACCAGGTTTCTGATCCCAAGTTGCTGGTATCTGAAAGCAATTGTGAAGTTGAAATCTGGCTGATCAGAATAGTGATTAGGAATTGTGTTCTGTGTACTTTAGAGGGAAAGGCTTCAGACTACAGATGTCCCATGGTGCCTGAACCCTTATCCCTTAGTGAAGGACTATGTGACACTGCGGGCTTTACATTGCCAGAACCTTAAGTTCTCAATCTTCCTGGTGTTGTCAAAGGAAGTATGTGGATTAGTGACTGCTAATACCTACCTGAGTGAAAATACTTTGAAAGACGGAACCTGTCTACTAGCAGAGGAAACTGGACTGGCTAGTACTGAATCTGTTGACTTGGTAAGCAAGTGTTCATCCCCAGTGAGTCTGCTTTTTTATTTGCCTGGGATGGGAAGGGCTTACCTCAGGAATGTTGACCCTTAGCCAAACCACTAGCAGCAACAAGGACAATGCCTACTTCTAGCTCCAACTCAAGTTTCCAGTTTTCAGTTCCTTGGTTGAGAGAGTGTAAAAACAGAACTGGGTATCTGGGAACTGAGAGTACTCCATGTAATACCCCACACCCACTTGGTATCCCTGGGCCTTTGAGGCCTGCAGTTGGGAGTTCTGTTAATCCTGAGTAGACGCTACTCTACTCTCTCTCAACTTCCAGCTATGCTGCTTAAGCTACTTGTAATTCCACAGTGGAGTCCCCTCTCCTGGGACCTGACAAAATTCAGTGATGTTTTCTGTTGGAACTTCCATAGCAGTCTCCTTAGCTTTCAGATAAGCCATTGCTGGTTCCACAGTGGAGAGTCTCCCAAACATGGTGGCTGGGTTCTCTGGTAAACTTTAACAGTGGGGCTCTTACTGATGATTCTATATTTAATTCTATTTTTGATACAGTCTTTCCAGGGACTTCTGGAAGCACTCAATTACATACTCATAAGAGTATGCACCAGGGCTGGGGTGAAGGCTTAAAGGAGTGGAGGATGGAGGACCCCCCAGGTTCAATTCTTGACACTGCATGGTTCCCTAAGAACTGCCAGGAGTGACCTCACAAGCACTGAATCAGAAAAATCCCGAAGCACCACTGGGTGTGGCTTCAAAAAAAAAAACCAACAAAACAAAAACAAGGCACTGAACCCTAATTTCTTCTTAAAGGCCTTATCTTCGGGGCTGGACAGATAATATGGTGCTTGCCTCAGACACAGCTGATGCAAGTTCAATCCCTGGCACCTATATGGTCCCCTTGGGCCCTGCCAGGAGTGACCTTTTTTTATTGGGTGGGGGTGAGGTGCACATCCAGTGATGCTCAGAGCTTACTCCTGGCTCTGCCATCAAGGATCACTCCAGATGGGTTTAGGGAACCCAGAGAAGTGCCAGAGATCAAACCCAGATTAGCTGCATGAAGGCAACTGTCCTACCTGCTGTACCGTTGCTATAGCCTTCAGGAGTGATCTTTGAGCACAGAGCCAAGAATAAGCACTGAGCACTGCCAGGTGCGGTCCTAAAACCAAAACAAACCAAACCTCCCTCCCCCCATACAAATAAAAACAACCAAAGATCTTATCTCCAAATGCCACTACCAACAAGTTAAGACTTTGACACATGAACTTAGGGCAGCTTCATTAAGAGTTTTTTTGCCTGTGTTCTGTAGCCCAAGTTTGATGAGGCCCAGAAAACTAGGGACAAGAGCTATTTTCTTCCTAAGCCATTGTTAGTGTGATGTGTAGAGAGATAATAACGCTTCTCAGCTAATGAACCTTCTTCAGCAGATTGGGAGGAATCCCTACGTAATTCTGCATTAGTCTCAATTTTCCTGTTCTCTATCACTCTACCAGGAGAAAAAGTGGCTACTTCATCTTCCTAATACTCCATTGCCTCCCCTGTGAAATTCCCTCTTTCCTCTGTGTCCTGTGGGGGGGTTGCTGGAGATGACATCTATAGATATTAGGAAGAGTGACTGGGCAGGGGGATCAAGACTTATGTTGTTTGCACCATGGAAGGGGCTTAGGAGAATTCCTCCTGCAAGTTCTTTTTTCTAAAGAAAGAAGAACTTGCAAGAGTATACTCCTCTTTCTGAAAATTCTGATAATTGAGAGGTTTTACATTCAGGATTGTGAAACCAATCGGGCAGGAAGCAGGGGCTCAGACACCAGGCCTGAATTGGGCAAGTGCAGAGATCAAGTTCCTCTGATCCTGGTCAGGGGTGTTTAGACACACCAATGATTCTGGGAAATCCAGAGGCAGGGAGGAAACGAGTTGGGGGTGAGACAGAAAAAGGAATCTCACTCCTTCTGGCTGGGCCCTCTTCAAACTGTGCTATGAGGAGTGAAGTGACAAGCTTCTGGAGGTGGACACCAGACAAAAAGACCCCTTTTGTGGGAAGAATAGACACAACGCCATCCCCCAACTCCCGCTTTGCCTGCTTGAGTTCCAAGTCCATTTCTATTTCTGTTTACTGTTCAAAGTTCTGGGAACAGGAGATGTCAGGTTAACATCATACAGACAGTCTGACACATGGACACAGGGTCCTGAGAGGGACCAGCCCTCTTCCCTTCTCTCCCCACCCAGCACCACCTGCCCCCCCTTTTCTCATTTCAGCGTCTCCTTTGCCCTGGGCCAGAACTGCCTGAGGGACCCAGGGTCAACCCTCCACCCTTTAACAAGGTAAAGTAACCCTGTAACTACAGCTGGAGAGCCAGGTGGGACTGGAGAAATTTGGGATTAAGAAGACCCTTGTATAGGAATGATGGGGACCAGATGGGAAGGTGTGTGTGTGTGTGTGTGTGTGTGTGTGTGTGTGTGTCCATGGGAGTGTGAAGGGAAGGTGTTTGATCATATCAAGGCCCTAGTAGCCTCCTGAAAAGGTACAGGAAACACAGTGTCTCATACTCTAGTCCCAAGCTCTGTTTCAAACTCAGACTTGGACCCTGACCTACTTAGACCCTAAGTTCAACTCCATCATCAACCTCCATCTTAAAGCAAACATCAATTCAAACAGCCTAAGAGCTGCTTAGCCTAATCCCAGATTCAGCTCTTGCCTCACAGCCAGCATGGATAAGGACTTACAAGACATCCAGCAGCTGGATCCCGAGGAAAGCAACCACGAGATTGATGGAGGGGAACTGCCAAGCACTCCTGAGCGCCATGCTAGAAGACCACCCCCAGCCTGGAAAGGCAAGTATTCAGTTTCCAAGGTTTTACTTCACTTCTCTCTGGTTCCTGATAACTACTTTTTCACTGTGTCCTCTGACATCTTTACTTTACACCCAGTCTCCTTTAGATGTGAGGTACTCGACACCTTTCCTTGCCCCCAATCTTACCTTCTTCTCCATTCCAAAGACCCAAGAAAAGTATGTATGCTCAGCAGTAGGAGAATAACGAAAGTTGGGAATGAAAACCTCCCGCCTTTCCTGAGTAATATATGTTATACAATATTGTGTGTGTGTGTGTGTGTGTATGCATGCAAGAGGGTGCATGCATGCAAGGGAACACACACACAGAGAGAGAGAGAGAGAGAGAGAGAGAGAGAGAGAGAGAGAGAGAGAGATTGAATGGGTACAGAGAGACCCTGTAAAAACTCCTGCTTCTTCAAAACACCCTGCCCAGAATCTTCTAGGCTGAAAGGCAGGGACTAGGGTTGTCAGATTGTGTCAGAGAGAGGTTTGGTGAAGAGAGGGTATACTGGACTTGGGAGCATGGGGAGGGGTTTTTCTTAGCATGGACTGGGAGGGGACCCTCACAGTGCTGAGGCCAGCAAACCCAGCAGACTGCTGTTGGGGTTTGGGTAGCAGGGGCAGTGTCGTCAGCAGAGACCTTTTACCAGGGAGTAGGCACACAGATGTGTTCTTCCCCTCTGCAGTATTCACATTATGTCAATAGGGTGCCTGAAAAATGATTTTGAATTTTCTTTGATCTTCTGTGGTAGAGAGGATTCAGAGTTGAAGCAGGAGGTTTGGTGAGAGAACAGAAGGACTCTTGGGTGAGGGAACTCACCCCAAAGGACTGATGGACAGTATATCAGGGGGCATCACTTGTTTCCTCCCTCCAGCAGCCTCTTTCTCCTGGGCTATCACATGAGCATCTTTCACATGCCCACTGGGTACCATTCATATTCCATTCTTCTTGCATTCTTGCCTATGATTTTCAGCAAATAGATGAATGTTCTGCCACTGTTTCCTCAAATATTATTATTATTTTATACATTATATAATAATATATTTATATTATTATTATTAGATTTTGGGTCATGCTGGTGATGCTCAGGGGTTACTCTCATCTCTGCACTCAAGATCACTTCTGGTAGTGCTCAGGGGACCATATGGAACTGGAAAGGCAATCTTACCTTAACCATTGTACTATCTCTCCAGCCCCTCAAATATTATTTTCTGCCTTTCCCCTCTCTCATTTCTTTCTTTTTCTTTCTTTTTTGCTTTTTGGGTATACCCAGCGATGCTCAGGGGTTACCCAGCGATGCTCTGCACTCAGGAATTACTACTGGTGATGCTTGAAGGACCATATGGGATGCAGGAATTGGACCCAGGTCTGCTGCGTGCAAGGCAAATGCCCTACCTGCTCTCCCCTCTCCTCATTTCTCTCCTCTCCTCCCCTCCCCTCCCCTCTCTCATTTCTGTCTTTAAGGTAACTCATCTTTCCTCATGCATAGCTAATCTTGTTTTCATACACTGTGTCTAGTGTATGGTTCTTTTTAGACATTGTAGTTTTATGTCTACAAGTTCAAGCTGGGACTTATAAACAACTTTTAATAGTCATAATTGAATGCATAAACACATTTATAGTATCTTTTAATGTCATTGTTTGCTAATTCTAGGGCCTAAGTTAGTTTTGATGATTCTTCTTATATGAGTTGGGTTTTCCTGCTTCCTTCTTGTTAAACAACCTTTGACTGGATAGACCTTGGGAGCTGGACTTGCTGGTACTAGACATATAATTTCTATTTCTCTAAATACTCTTGAGTTTTGTTCTGGGATGCAGCTAAGTAATTTGGAATGAATTTAATTCTTCTTATAAAATGTTAGGTGACTCTAGAACTCTCTAAGACAAGACCTTATTTTGTGCTCTATGATCCTTTGGTACTGTGTGATTCTATGGGGATGAATTTTCCAGACCAGCTGATGAAAATGGACCCTGTTCCTGATCCTGTATAAGTACCAGACATTGTTTCCTGATCTGGGCAGTTTATTTTTATTATGACCTTGGGTAGTTTTCCTTGCCGGTATGTCCTACTAAGCACTCTGCTGATTGCTTAAGGGGAACCTCCTATAGAGCTGCCTCCATGCAACTCTCTCCTCTCCGATACTCTGTTCTGTGAAACCTAAGCATCTTGGTTATTCAGACCCTCAGCTTCATCTCTTTAGGACAGGGAGTCCGCTGGGACCTCCCTTTCCTGTCCTGTTGTGAGGGTATTCTTCCAGTTCTTGACTGGGGCAGTGATAGCGCTTATCTCCTGGGGTTCCTGTCAATCCAAGTCCAGTGTCCTAAAATGATTGCTTCTTATCGCTGTCTGATTTTTGTTTCAGTTGTTTCTGGGAAGGGTAGTCTAGCTGGGCAGATCCTTTCTTTTACTTTCAAACTTGCCTACACAATACTTTATGTGGTTTCTTTCATTTCATTATCAGGACAATCTAATAAGGTGGTTACTGTTTTTACCCCCATTGTTTTTATTAATTACTTTTTGCTTTTTGGGTCACACCTGGCGATATTTAGGGGTTACTCCTGACTCTGTACTCAGGAATTACTCCTGGTGGTGCATATGGGATGCCTGGGATCAAACCTGGGTTGGCCACATGCAAGGCGAATGCCCTCCCTGCTGTATTATCGCTCGCGACCCTCATTGTTTTTATTGTGGTCAGAACACTTAACAGTTTAAAGTAATTTTAATGTAAGTAACATTGGTTATCACATTTATATAGGTTTCAGGTATACATCATTGTAAGTTGATTCTTCATATACTACATTACAATGGCCACTAAAAGTCTAATTTCCATCCAAACCCTTTAAAATTGTTATTATTACCATCACTATTGGTTTTGGGTGACACCCAGCACAGCAGCACTCAGGGCTCTCTCCTTGAGGGGTCTGGGGAGCCATAGGCGGTGTAAAAGATCGAACCTGGGCCTGCTGCAATGCAAGGCGGGCACTCTCCCTACTGAATTATTGCTCCAGCTCCTAAAAATTATCTTTAAAGAGTGAAATTTATTGTGGTTTGGGGATCTTTATTTATTTATTTAAACTTTGTTAGGTTCACCATGTTCACCAGAACTGTAGGAGGGCCCCTATGGTACCGGATGTCAAACCCAGGACCTTACCTATGCAAGGTATATGCTCTACCACTTGAGACACATCTACTCGAGCCACATGCTGTCACCCACGTTAACAGCACCTCGCTGTTTCGTTTTGTTTTTTAATTTTATTGAATCACTGTGAGATAATTACAAGTTTTCATGTTTGGGTTACAATCGCACAATGATTAAACACCCATCCCGCCACCAGTGCACATTCCCCACCACCAATATCCCTGGTATACCCCCTTTTCCATCCTCCCCCTGCCTCCATGGCAGACAATGTTCCCCAGACTCTCTCCCTCCTTTTGGGAATTATGGTTTGCAATACAGACACTGAGAGGTTATCATGTTTGGTCCTTTATCTACTTTCAGCACACATCTCCCATCCCGACCGATTTCTCCAGCCATCTTCTTCTTAGTGATCCCTTCTCTATTCCAGTTGCCTTCTCCCCTTTGCTCATGAGGCAGTCTTCCAGCTATGGAGCAATCTTCCTGTCCCGTGTATCTACTATCCTTAGGTGTCAGCCTCATGTTATGTTGTTTTACACTCCACAAATGAGTGAAGTCCTTCTATGTCTGACCCTCTCTTTCTGACTCATTTTACTTAGCATGATACTCTCCATGTCTATTCATTTATAAGCAAATTTCATGACTTCATCTCTCCTAACAGCTGCATAGTATTCCATTGTGTAGATGTACCAAAGTTTCTTTAACCAGTCATCTGTTCTAGGGAACTTGGGTTGTATCCAGATTTTGGATATTGTGAACAGTGAACAGACTACCTCACTGTTAACTGCAGACATTCTTGGGCAGCAGATCACTACAACTTACTCATTTGTGTTACTGAATCTTTTTTACCTGTTGAAATTCCTTTTTCCCTCCCAAGCTCCTGGAAATCACCATTTTACTCTGTTTTTAGGTGTTTGAATTTAAAGTAACATTCCTCAGGTAAGTGGATGTAGAAAATAGAGGCACCAAGAACATTATGTCCCTGATCTCAGCTCATTCAATAGCACAACTGAATTCATCCATGGAGAGACTTGGGTGGAAGGATAGGGACATTGCTGAACTGACCCAGAATGACCAGGTTGGGAAGTAAAATAAGGGACCACTGTGTGGACAGTACCAGAGAGAGAAATCAGGGGATCAGCCATGGGTGTTGAAGACTAGTTTAGGAGAAGCTTCTGGAAACAGAAACACAGAGATTAGGGCAGTCATGTGAAAGGAGAGTTCAAGACTAGGTGATACTGTGCTCAGGGTGGAGAGTGGGAATAGGTAAGTGCTGAAGATAGGTAGGGAAAGAAATATCCTGAGTGTAGCTGTAGAGGAGGAAAGTGGGCTCAGAGATCAAGAGCCCTGGGTGATCACTAGCTGGAGCTGTATCCAACTCAGAACGGTGACAGGCAGTGAACTGGGGAGAATTGTGTGTTCCTAATACTTAGAATACTGAGTATTATCAATACTCAGAATATTGGTGAGCGTCGGTGTGATGCAATGAGAAGTCAGGAATATTGGAATCTGAGACAAAGAAGAATAAGCATTTTATTCTGTGTTGGTTGGTCTAAAAGTGGGAGCTCAGACTTGGAGGATTGACTGGGGGAGGAGGCTGTCTCCATTAACACAAAGATGTGAGTATGTGGTTGAATATGTGCATGAGATAGTCTATAAATGTGTGCCATGGTTTGAACATGTGTTGAAGAGAATGTGCATTTGTGAGAGTGAATTAGAAATATGAGTTTGTGGTCAAGTGTATTGTGGGTGTGAGAATGTGTGTGTGTGTGTGTGAGAGAGAGAGAGAGAGAGAGACAGAGAGACAGAGTCAGAGACAGAGAAAGAGAGACAGATCAGCTTCTGCTGAACTGAGGAGAGAGAGAGGTTCTTATGGAATGTATGGGGGCTGAGGATGAGAATCTGGAGTGGAACAAGGAGTCTGGGACAAGAGCTGAACAAAGTGGGTGAGGAAGTCCTGCGTAAGGGGTTTGGAATATATCCTTTGGGGAGTGGTCTGTAGTGAGTGATTTGAACTTAACTTTCCAGTGGAACTGGGGAAAGGTTGTTCCTGTTTTGGATTTGTTGAAGGATTTAGACATAGGTTAAGGACACAGGGCTGAGCCTCTAAGCACCCCAGGTCTAAGATGGAAGGTTTGCACACAGAGGTATTATGTGCTATGTGTGCGTTGTATGTCCACACCTATGTTAAAGGTGTGTGCATCTAGTATGTTTTCAAGCGGGTGTGAGTGTGCAAATGTATGTGCAATGTCAGAGTACCGAGTCAAAGCCCAGCCACTGAGTCCTGTCCCCGCTGGTCATGTCCTCTGCTTTATTTCCATTGCGCACTCTCTCGCTCCCCTATCCTGGATACTGCTCCTCTGTATCCTCGATGCTTTCCCTCCTGATGCCCCCCTTTTTATGTAGGGGTATTTCTATTTATTCAGCCATTGATTAGGCTGATTGAATTAGGCATAACTCCACCTTACTCCCCCCCTTTTTTTTTTTATAATTTTATTTATTGAATCACTGTGAGAGCAGTTACAAAGCTTTCGGGTTTAAGTCTCGGTCATACAGTGATTAAACACCCATCCCTTCACCAGTGCTCATTCTCCACCACCCAAAACCCCAATATACCCCCTTCTCCACACCCTCCCCTTACCTGTAGGGCAGATGATTTTCACATTACTCTCTCTCTACTTTGATTAAATCCAATATTTCGATGCCAGACCCACCATTATTTTTTTCCCCTTTATTTTATTTTATTTTTTTTTACAGTTGTAAATTTACAATTTTTTGTGCTTTGGTTTCAATTATACAATGATCAGATACCCATCCCTCCACCAGTGCCCATTTTCCACCACCATGGATAATATCCCTCCCACCCCCATCCCCCCATCCCCCCTGTCTCTGTGGCAGGGCAATCCCCTGTGTTCTCTCTCTCCTTTTGGGTGTTGTGGTCTGCAAAAGAGGCATTGAGTGGCAAACATGTTCAGTCCATAGTCTACTTTCGACATGCATCTCCCCTCCTGGGAGGATCCTCCAAACACCCTTTATTTGGTGTTCCCTTCTCTATCTGAGCTGCCCTTTCCTCTAGAATGCCCGACTGGCCACTAAGCTATGGAGTAATCCTCCTGGTGCTGATCTCAGCTATTCTTGAGTATTAATCTCATATTTTGTTACTTTATATCCCCCAGATGAATGCAATCTTTCTATGTCTATCCCTTTCTTTCTGACTCATTTCGCTTAGCACGATACTTTCCATGTAGTACCACTTGTATGTAAATTTCATGACTTCATCTTTTCTAACAGCTACATAGTACTCCATTGTGTAGATGTACCAAAGTTTCTTTAACCAGTCATCTGTTCTTGGGCATTCAGGTTTCTTCCAGTTTCTGGCTATTGTAAAGAGTGCTGCAATGAACAAACAAGTGCAGATGTCACTTCGAATATACATTTTTGCTTCTCTGGGATATATTCCCAGGAGTGGTATTGCTGGGTCAAATGGGAGCTCAATTTCTAATCTTTTGAGAATCGTCCATACTGTTGTCCAGAAGGGCTGAACCAGTGGACATTCCCACCAACAGTGAAGGAGTATCCCTTTCTCGCCACATCCGCGCCAGCATCGGTCAGACCCACCATTATTATTTGGGATTTTACCCCAACACTAAGATCTGCTGAAAAGGCAACAGTAGACAATTTGTTTTCTATTACTGGTTATGAATAACAAGTGATGTTGCGCAGCCGCAGTAGTGGCTGTGCATTTTTGGAATTCCAAAATTTTAACAATTAAATTTGGAGGGATTTCTGTGAAAACTTGCTGGGTTCCGAGATTTGTTCCTGAGTCTCTTGGATCATGGCCATTAAGCAGCTTGATCAGGAGCCAGAGAGGCCGTTCGTGGGCGGCGACTCGGGCTCTCATTGGGGCAGGGAGGAAAGCTGATGGCCCTTTTCTTGCAGGAATGTTTCCACCCCAGCCCCCACTGTGTCAGCGCCTCTGCTCAAGTCAGAGCCTCAGTCTGCTCATCCTGGGCTTCAACGTTGTCCTGCTGGTGGCCATCTGCGTGATCGCATCCCGAAGTGAGTGGCCAGGGGCCAAAGAGGGATGGGTCCATGACTGAGGAGAGGGGTGAGGTGCTGCAGCAAATATGGGGCGGCAGTGAGAGGGGCAGATGGAACTCTCATATGGGATATGACCCTCACCACTTTGTCCTTTTCCCTTTGTCTCCTGACAAGGAGCCCAGCTGCAAATGGAGTTGTGGACCCTGAAAGAAAAGTTTGGCAACTTCTCCTCCAGTACCCTGATGGAGATGGAGTCTCTAAGCTTCCATAGTGAGTGGCACCCTCTGAGGGCAGGGCAGCCTGTTTAGGGACCTTTATGCTGAGTGCCCATGCAGGATCTGGAGCAGACCACCCTGTCTGAGAATCTGGGCAGCATTTTAGAAATACTAAGCCTGGGTTGAGGGACCTGATGGATGGGGCTAGGCAGTTAAAGAGGATGGAGGTGGGTGATGGGTTGAGTGGAGAGAACCAGTGACCCCAGGAGGTGAGGGGACCAAACATTGTGTCATAAGGAAAGTGATGAAGGGTGGGCTAGAGAAAGAAATGAGTAGACAGGCAGGCCTCATGAATAACTTGGTGTTTTATTTGGATAAAATGGGGACTGGCTGAAGGGCTCTGACAGGGGAGTGACATGGGCTTCATAAAGTGACAACACAGAAACTTTTCAGAGTTAGGGGAGCCAGAGTCTGTGACATCCCAGGTCAAGAAGAAGGTGGACCTTACTGACCCAGTGGTGGGAGGAGAGAGGGATGGTAGAGATCGAGTGGTTGCAAACAATTTTTAGCATTCTATTTATTTATCTATTTATTTTTTTAAGTTGAATCACTGTGAGATAGACCCTTACAATAGCTTTCCATTTATTTCCAGGAGGCAGCACAGGAAACAAGGTGACATCTCTGGAAACCAAGTTGGAGAAACTACTGAAGGAGTTGAAAGCAGGTTAGGAGTGAAAGTGTCTGTGTTTGTGTGAGTGTGTGTATGTGTGTGAGTGTATGTATGTGTGTGTGTGTGTGTGTTGCCCAACAAAGGCTGGAGTCCTATATCTGGTCATGGTGTCTGTGGCATTCACACTGATGACATCATAACATCATTATCTATTACTTTCTCTCCTAGACCACAGTACTTTGCTTGACCATCTGAAGCATTTTCCAGTTGATCTGCGCACCCTGACTTGTCAGATGAAATTCTTCCGGAGCAACGGTAGGGACAGGCAGGTCTCCAGCTCCCTTGTTTCTGTCTCCTCCAGCAGGATTTGACCTCTTTCTGTTCTGTCTTCCCTTCAGGCACAGAATGCTGCCCAGTTAACTGGATAGAACATGAAGGCAGTTGTTACTGGTTCTCTCACACTGGGAGCACCTGGTCTGAGGCTGAGAACTACTGCCAGCTGGAGAAAGCCCATCTGGTGGTAATTAACTCCAAAGACGAGCAGGTGAGCAGAGCCTTTCCAAACACAGGCAAAATCACAGGAATGCAATCTTGTAGTTCTCAGTCTTGTTTAATCAAGATTTTTTTCTTCTAGTAACCTAAGGAAAACTCCAATGCAGGAGTCTGTGGGGCAGTAGCTGGCTCAACAGGCTGAACATAGGCTTTGCATGAAAAAGGCCTGGGTTTGATTCCTGCACTGCATGGTTCTTTAAACATCACCAGGAAGGACCGCTGAGCACAGACAAGGGAGTATCCCTCTAGCGTTGTGATATGGCCCCAGACCCAAAACCAAGCAAAAAAAACCAAAAAAAAACCAAAAAAAAAACAGAAGTCTGATAGGACTCCAGGAGTCTTGGTGCTTTTTCCTTCAATTCTAAGAGGTGGGAAATTTGCCCAAGACAGAGCTTTGGCAAAGGCACAGGAGTCAGGTGAGCAGGCGATGAAGAATTTATCACAGAAAGTGAGGCAGTATCTATTAAAGGGTCAGGGAGATAGCTTAAGGGCTGGAGCCCCTGATCTGTCCTTTGCAGTCCTGGGATTGATGCCTGCCACTGCATAATCTCACAGCTCCACAGAACCCACCCAGGATAAGCTCCAAATACTGCTGGATGTGGTCCTTTGAAAAAAAAATCAAATGAGTGTTTCTCTTTAATAGGTGAATGTATCTCAATCACATTTAATTTAATGGTATTTTCCATCCTAATCTTGTCTTTGTTTTATGTGCTGTTTTTTTTCCTTGCATTTTTTATGTGAGACATATTCCTTTAGTTTTCTCTTCACAGGCATTTGGACTGGATATAATTTATTTTCAGTCATATTTGTGATTCTTTTCATCAACTTTTAAGTAGACTAAAAATTACTGGCTTCAAAAATAAAAGTTGGAGAGGCGTCAGATAAATAGTCCAATGAGTAAGGCAATTGTCTTGCCTATGGCTGACATGGAGTTTGATCCCCAGTGTCCCATAATGATTCCATGTATCCTGACAAGAGTGATTCCTGAGCACAGAGACAAGAAAAGTCTTGAGTATCACAGAGTGCCAAAAAACAAACAAATTAACAAAAAATTTGGACCATGTAATTTGTTCAAGTGGTTGAGAGTATGTAAGGCCCTCAGTTCTATCTTTACCATCACATGATCCCCCCAAAACTACCAGGTATAACCCTTGTAGCCCTGAACATTGCCTGAGCACTAAGAGGTATGGCCACAGTGGCCTCCAATAGTGCTTGTCTAAACCCCAGGCTTGTCTAGTTGAACAGTGAATTATCAGGCCCAAGTATTGGCCAACAAGAATCATGGGGTGCAGCTCCTGGGCCTGAAGGGGCAGTGTTGAGAGTGACTCTTATAAAAAATCAAAGTATGAGAAAATAAATGTCTATTTCTTCACATGCCCTCAATTCTTTATTCAAAGTTGAGATATAATTAGCACATCGGCTGGAGCGATAGCACAGCGGATAGGGCGTTTGCCTTACAAGCGGCCAACATGGCCGACCCGAGTTCGATTCCTCCGCCCCTCTCGGAGAGCCTGGCAAGCTCCCCGTGACGTATTCGATATGCCAGACACAGTAACAACAAAGTCTCCAATGGAGACGTTACTGGGCCCGCTCGAGCAAATCGACGATCAACGGGAGGGCCTTTACCTTTTTACATAGTGTAGGCTCTTTGTTGTTGTTATTGTCGTTTTGGGGTCACACCCAGCAGTGCTCAGGAATGACCCCTGGCTCTGTACTCAGGGATTACTCCCAATAGGTCTCAGAGGATCATATGTGGTGCTGGGGATCGAACCTGGTTTGGCTGCTTGGAAGACAAATGCCCTACCAGCAGTTCTGTTTCTCTGGCCTCAATGTTGTGTAAGTTTGAGATATGCAATGTGTTAGCTTGAGAGATGAGTGTGTGTGTGTGTGTGTGTGTGTGTGTATACACCCAGTGGTGCTTAGGAGTCCCTCCTCGCAGTTTTCAGAGAATGACATGTGGTGTCAGGGATTGAACCCAGCTTGACTACCTGCTGTACTATCTCTCCAGCCCCTTATGTATTCATATATTGCAATATAATTACTATATAGCATTAGCTAGCACCTTAACTATATCACTACAATTAACATATCTTTTGTGTTGAGAACAATTAGCTTCTCTAGCCTTTTAGTAACTTTGAAGTTTGTAATACCTCATTATTTATTTATTTATTTATTTATTTTTGGTTTTGCTTTTTTTGCCACACCTGGCAGTGCTCAGGCTTTCTCCTTGGCTCTACATTCAGGGATCCTGTTGATAGGGCTCAGGGTGCCAGGGATAAAAAGTCAGTCATGTCTCATTCTTTGCTGTCCCAGGTCCCTTAAGTGTTTGGTCTGAAGAGTTGAGGGAGTCTTCTGTCTCTGAATTTCATTTGCTTTATCCAGATAAAGCATGGTACTGTTTATTCTTTTTATATATTTATTCTGATGGCAGGGAGTTCTTTTAAAAAGTCATGTTTTCTAAAATTTTAGAAGATATTTTTGTGGAGCCACACCCAGTGGGAGATACCCAGTGGTGCTTAAGGTTTACTCCTGCTCTGTGCTCAGGGATGACTCCTAGAAGGACCCAGGGATCATAAGTGGTGCAGGAGATGAAACCAGGGTTTAGCCACGTGCAAGGCAAGTGATCTGCCTGCTGTCTTCAGCTTCTAGGGAAAAAAATGGTGTGGGGGGGGATGTTTGAGCCACACCTAGTGGTGCTCAGGGCTTACTCTTGACTCTGCCCTCAGGGATCACTCCTGGTGGGCTCAGGGAAACAAAGAGTGTGCACAGATTGAATCTGGGTTGGCAATATGCAAGGCTATATTATTGTTCTGACCCCTAGAAAGAAGTCTTCATGTCATATTTCTAAGTGTTTTTCTTTCTTGTCATGTTCTCTTTTCTTCTGGACCACCTTTTCTAGAATCACCATTGTCTGTCTTTCCAGTCATCATCTTGTGTCTATTTACTTCAATCTTTCTCTCTTTCCCTATGAATTCTTTTTTTGATTCCCATATTCTGTATCTCAGATGTTTTATCTTTCTGTGGTGTTTTATCTTTCCTGCTGAGTTACTCTTTTCCACTTATTTTCTTATTTATTTATTTTTGGTTTTTGGGACTCACCAGATGTATTCAGTTCAGGGTTTTCCCCTGGCTTTGCACTCAGTGATTATTTCTAGGGGAGATGGGGGGATCATATGTAGTACCAGGGATTTAACCCAGGTTGACTGCATATAAAGCAAGTGCCTTACCCTCTGTACTATCTCTACAGCCCTTGTTATTTATTTATTTATTTATTGGAACATACCTTTTGGTGCTCAGGGCTTCCTCCTGGTGTTCAGGGATGTTCAGGGATCATTCCTGGTGGTGCTCAGGGAATCGTATGAGGTATCGGGGGTCAAACCCAGGTCTGCTGCATGCAGGGCAAATGCCTTACCTGTTATACTGTATCTCTGGCCCTGACAACTGTTCAGGAAGCTGTTAAGTGTGCATGTTGGTTAGTCCATCTTTATTTCCTCCATAAACAGGCGATCACATCCTATCACAACCAGCTTTCCAACCAGTGGGCATAAAGCCCCCAAATAGCCACAGTTTCAAGAGCAAGTCACTTGGAGGGGCAGTGACCTTTAAAGTGTGTGCATAAGTCCTGGGGAACTCTTTTAGATTTTTTCAGTCCAATCCTGCATTAGGAATTGTCTGTTGCTTCCCCTTATAACAAGATTATTTTGTTTAATTCTCAGCATGGCTGCAAGACCTCACCTAATCAAGTGATAAGAGGATTCCGGGCAGGGAGATCCCAGCTTGGAAACTTGGGGTCTGATAAGACTGAAATGACAGTAGGAGCAGGGGCAAATGTACTGAAAGAACATCTGTGGGTTCTGAGATCAATGGGGGTCATAGGTGCAGTGCCAGGATTCTGAGTTGTCAGTCACAAGAACAGGGAAAAGCCCTGAATTCTGGTAGCAGCTGTGAGCTGGAGAAGGAGTGGTCAGGTCAGGGCACAGTAATCATGAACTTAGGTGCTGGATTGACTCTTGGATGCTATCTATTCTCAGGTGCCCCATTAGGGCACCTACTTAGAGGTTTTGTGAGGATTAAATAAAATATTCTTTGTAAGACCCATAGGAAGAGGTACAGTACAACAAATGCTCACTATATAGCTATGGTTACAGAAGGAAAAGCAAAGATCTAATTGAATTAGGAGCTGATGCTTTAGCCTGAGGGTAGTCAGGTTGGGGAAGACTGAGGGGAACAACTAATGCCGGCTTGGAGGTATTAGGGACTAGAACCTACCTTCCTGCCTGTTTTCCAGGACTTTATTGTACAACACACAAATTCCTTCAATAACTGGATAGGTCTTACTGAGAGAGATGGCTTCTGGAAATGGGTGGATGGCACAGACTTGAAATACAAGTAAGTCCACTCCGCTGTTAATTTGGCTTTCAACCCAAATATCCATCCATTTCAAATATCCCTTTCCTCTCGTCTACCTCCCAGAATCCCAACCTCCAAGACTGCAGTTTTTGCTTCATGAGCACAGCCCTCATCAAGTCTGTGCTTTTATGGGGCTGGGATGCATATGACTCGAATGAAGGGGGGTTTAAAACTTAAGCTTTGTCCCACTTTCTTAGGAACATGGTTCTACATCGGCTAGATGACTGGAGAGGGCGTGAGGTGGATTCTTCACGTGAGAGCTGTTTTGAAATTCAACGGAATGGCTTTTGGAATCGTGATTTATGCCTGCAGACACATCGCTGGGTGTGTGAGATGAAGTCTAATGTTACCAGCTAGGAGCCCTGACCTCCAGTAGGCATGATCCAACATGAGTCTCATCCCGAACTGATCCCAAATTTTCTATTGGTAATTTAGAAGAAAGAAAGTGGAATAGAATGAGAAGCAGGGAGAAGGTCTGATAAAAGAGAGAATGGAATGGTTTAAGAATCTCAGACCCTTGCATGTTGAGATCCCATTTCTTTTTGCTATTCATTGCAACTGTTTTCATTTTCAATCTTTTCACTGGAACAGAAAGAGAAGAAACAAACACTTTTGTGTGGACTGGTTTTTGGGAACTGGGGAAATGTGGGAGTGGAAAGAAGAGGGAGAGAAGAGGGTTTGGTTAAAATTCTCTGTCAACAGCTGGGACTGGAGCAATAATACAGGGACCAAACAGAGTTTGATCCCTGGCACCTCATGTGGTTCCTGGATTGATCCCTAAGTGCAGAGCCAGGGAACTAAGCCCTGAAACTGCTGGGTGTGGCACCAAAAGGGAAAAAAATCCTTAGACAGCTGCTTTGGGATAGTTCCATATGGCACAGGTCTGGGAGAAGGAAGAGGCTTCAAATCACAACATTCAGTGGAAAGCACTGGAGGAGGGTGGAGAGGAGCCAACTGGGTTAGTGCTGGACACTCCCCACATCCTGAGGAGTTCCTGCAAGAAGCAAAATTCCCTGCGGTGGTGATCTCCAGGAGAGGTTCCAGGGAGTAGCGCTTCTTCACTGTCATTTGGGAACTGTGGGTTAGACCTGTGAAGAACCGTGAAAAATGTCTTCTAAGTTAAGGTAGAGGGGAAGACATTTCCCATCATTTTAACATGGCTTCTTTTTTTAAAAACCCCAAACATGTCTATACATTCAGCTTAAACTGCCACCAACAACTTCTTTTTATTTCTTTTTAAAATTTTTTTTACGATTTTTATACATTTTATTTTCATAGAGTGGTTCACAATAGTTCATTACAGATAATATTCAAACACCCACCCAAACAGTGAGCATCTTCCCACCACAATAAGAGGGAGGTGTGTGAAGATTGTTGTATTTCATTCTGGGGCCATTTAAGCCTGTATATACAAGAATACAAGCAAGTATGTTAAAACCAAACATGTGTGTGTTACTTTAGGTGCATCAGTGGGCTAGAGTATAAGAGGTCCAGGAAATACTGCATTGCTTCTTCCAGGAACTTTATTTTATAATCTCTGGATCTTGGCCATTGATGAGATTACATGCGTGTGCGCAGGGGGTGGGGGTGCAGTTTGTGGGTGTGACTGCCAAGCTACTGGAAAACTGGGGATCTGGGTGGAAGAGGCCCAGTCCCAATCCGAGCAGGCTTGGAGATCTCAGCCAGGGGTCCCACATACCTGGGTTCTTCTGTCGGTTCCTTCATGGGGTGAGGCTTGTCCAAGAGTGCGGAGAGTGGCCTGGAGTATGACTGTGACTGGGTTCTGGAGGTTTTCGCCTGCCGGGTCTCTGCTTGGGGCAGGAAGGGAAACTCAATCTGTCCCCCTCCAAGGTGCCTCGGTGAAGACAGCCTGGCACAGGGTCACCAATAACTTCAATAGTGGGTAAACATCACCTAAACTAGATGCAAAACTCAGGTCAGAGCACTTGCCTTGCATGTTCCTGGATTAGGACTGGCCCTGAAAGACACAAGAGGACAATTGAAAAAAAATTGCAAGTATCAAATTCTATTTTGGGACACCTCGGCGATGCTCAGTGGTTACTTCTGGCTCTGACCCAGAAATCACCCTTGGTGGACTCTAAGAACTATGGGATTGAATCTGGGTTAATCACATGCAAGTCAAGCACCCTTCCCACAGTACTATCGCTCAGGCCCTGACAGGTGTCAAGTTCTTCAAGTGAATTTGACAGTCTAGAAAACCATAAGAACCAATGACTCAATTTCCAGTGAGTCCAAAGATCTTAGGTAGTACAATTTCAGTTGAAGATAGTAGGCTCAAGACCTAGGAAGAACTATTGGTTCAGTTTGAGTCTTAAGGCAGGAAAGGCAGTGTTCCCATCTGAAGAGGGAAGAGCTCTTATACCTTGGAAGAGCTCTTATAACTTGGGATTTGGCAAGGTGGGAGGGGGTTCATCTATTTGATCTGTTCAAGTCTTCAACTGATTGGGTATGGTTTACTCAAGTTGTGAAGGACATCTACTTTACTTAGCTGCCACCTAAAAACACACCCATAATGTTTAAACAATTTCTGACCACCCCAATCCCCTGTTAACTTCACACAATGTGAACTGTTATTGGGTTCTTGTCAGAATGTTTCCTGTATACATACCTGTATGCAATACCACATAATGTGATATTCTTACTTTTTTCACTTTAGAGTGTCTTATAGACATTGATCAAATTAAATGCTATTCCTAATGGATTTTACCTCATTGACTAGAACAGGGATGGAAAATTTCAAAGTATGGATGTGCTGTGTGTTACTCAGTCATTCTCTGCTGAGTACAGATGAGTGGTTGCTATGTTTTGTTTGCATTCACATGAAACTTAAAGCAAGTTTTGATTCTAAACAAGGCCAAGAATTTGCAATTATCCTCCTTTGCAGGTTTGTCAGGGAGCCGGGAAGTGCGTTTCTTTCGCGTGCGTGCCCCTTTCCCTTCGCCAGGCACCCACTGCAGGGCAGCCGGAGACTTTGGGGAACACCTGTCGAGTTCCGCAGGACAGCCCTCCCACTTTGCCGCAGGGCTGCCGTCCTCTGCAGGTTCCCAGGTCCCTGGGACTGGCTGGGCGTGTGGCCTCCACGTAGGGGCATTGGCCTCCTCAAAAGTGGGCGTGGCCTTCTCTGAGGCCGCTCTAGTTATATTTTCCACTCCCAGCACTCTCGACTCATATCCCAGCCTTTATCACCTAATTCTGTGGAAAAAGTTCTGGCCACCTCAACTATAATACAATAATCCACTGTCCTACTCCGATTCCAACAAAAGACCAGTACTCAAGAAGCTGTACAAGCCCAATATCAAAGAGCACCTCCTCCAATGCTTCACTAGATGCCTGTCATAAGCCACAGAATAATGCCTGAGAGGAAAGACAGATTCTAGAAAGGGAGAAGGGTGACCACCATCGACCGACCTTACTCAGAATCCTTTCCCACAATAAGAGGGAACAGTGCTAGTGAATTCCAAGGTTTTACCTCTAGACAACCAAAACAGCATGAAGAAACACTGCAAATCTCCACTACGAGGAGAGGATGAAGAAAAGAGTCCCGAATCCTGAACAGGGGTTACCCACAATATGCTCTCTCCAATAAAGAATTCCGAGATGAAATGCTGAGGATGTCCAAGGAACTACTCAAAGAATCAATGGAGGAGACATCCAGAAAATTAAAGGAAGAAATGAAAGAAACAGTGGAATGGATAGTCAAGAAAATAAAGGAAAAAATGAGAGCAAAAATAAAAAGCTACAAAAGGAAGTGTCACAAATAATGGATTCAGTAGATGAAATTAAAAACTCAGTGGGTGCCCTCAGCAGTAGAATGACTACAGCTGAATACAGGATCAATGAGCTTGAAGATGAGCAACAGAAATCACATAGGAACAAAAAACAATGGGAAAAGATCTCAAAATAGCTCTAAGGAGAATCAGAGACCTAGGGGATGATGCCAAGAGGAACAACATTAGAATCATAGGAGCACCAGAAGGTCATGGAGGCAACCCCAGTGAAAAAGCCACAGTCAAAAAAAAATCATTGCTGAAAAGTTCCCAGAGTTAAAGAATGCAAACATCCAGATCCAAGGAACCAGAAGTGTGCCAGCTAAAAGAGACCTGAATAAAAACACTCCAAGGCATATCATAGTCAGAATGATGGATGTCGTGGATAGAGACACAATACTGCAGCAGCAAGGTAAAAGAAGGAAATCACATTCAAAGGAGCACCCCCTATATTTACAGCAGACCTATCAGAGAAAACCCTCCAAGTCCGAAGACAATGGAGGGATATAGTGATAAAACTCAATGAAATGAATGCCTCACCAAGAATACTTTATCCAGCTAAATGCTCACTCAAACTCGATAGAATGATACACCATTTTATAGATAAACAACAGCTCAGGAACTTCATAGACTCAAAACCAAATCTAAAAGAAGGATTAAAGGGGCTCCTGTAAGATAAGAAGGAAAACACTTACAAGCACAACCAAGCCCTACAGAAAGATGGCACAAAACCCTATGACAATAATCATTCTCAATGTCAATGGTCTAGATGCACCAATCAAGAGACACAGAGTGGCAAAATGGATCCAGAAACTGAAACCAACATTCTTCTGTCTACAAAAAACTCATCTGAACAGTCAGAGCAAACACAGACTCAAAGTTAAAGGATGGAAAACAATCCTGCAAGCGAAGAGTTTCCTCAAAAAAGCTGGGATGGCCACACTAGTATTCAACAAAATGGATTTAAGGTTGGAAAAGATTAGAAGGGACAGCAAAGGCCATTTTCTATTTATCAAGGGATACATACAACAGGAAGAAATCACCATCTTAAATGTGTAGGCACCTAATGAGGGACCAGCTAAATTCTTAAAAAACAAAAACTACTAATAGATTTTAAAGAGGATATTGCTAGTAACACAATAGTAGTCAAAGAATTCAACATCGCCTTATCACTTCTGGATTGATCAACAAGAACAAAACTCAGCAAGAAAACATTGGCTTTGAAGGAAGAAATAGAAGAGAGAGTGCTAATAGACCTATACAGGGATTTACACTCCAGAAAGTATACACATTCTTCTCCAGTGCACATGAAACATTTTCCAAAATAGACCACGTGCTAAGGCCACAAAACATACCTCAATAGAATCAGAAAGATAGAAATAGTATCAACAATCTTTTCAGACCACAACGTGTTGAAGATAGAAGCAAATCACACAAAGACACTGAGAAGCAAATCAAGCACCTTGAAATTAAACAACTCAATGTTGAACAATGAGTGGGTCAGGAAGGAAGCCAAGGACAAAATCCAAGATACCTGGAAACAAATGAGAATGAAGACACGAGCTACCAGAACCCATGGGATGCAGCTAAAGCCATGTTAAGAGGAAAATTTATAGCTTTGCAAGCATTCTTAAGGAAGGAAGAAAGGGCCTATATAGATAACCTGACCTCACAGCTCAAGATCTTAGAAAAAGTCCAACAAAAGTAACCCAAAATTGGCTGAAGGAAAGAAATAATAAAACTAGAGCAGAAATCAATGACATGGAAACCCAAAAAACAATCCGAAAGATGAAACCAAGAGCTGGTTCTTTGAGAAAATAAACAAGATTGATAAACAACTAGCAAGA